CTGCTGATTCAGCTCCCTGATAAGAGGATGCCAGGGCTATCTCAAGGGCGATCTCGATGGAAAGATTCAGTTCCCAGCTGCCTTATCTCAGCTGAGTCAAACACAGCGATGCCAGAAGGGAAATGCGTGCTGGGGAGGCCTCATTGCATGCAACCTTCCCAGAGCACCTTTCCCTGGGGCTGCAGGGACGGTGGTTTCAGAGGTCCCACTGTGTGCACTGAAAAGTACCACCCTGTGAAGTCGGGGATGCAGCAGTCCCCGGGTGCGTTTTGTCTCAGGTCACATCTATCTGCAGCTTGCACAGAGCTGGGTGCCTGTGCCATACCCTGCTGCCAGCCGGCCGGGGCTCAGACCTCCAGGCCAGTCCCTCTTCCCGTGGCAATCTCCTTTGCAGTGGCTTGTGTGCTGGTGGGGTGGCTGCCTGGAGCCCAGAAGGTGCCACCAGTCCTGCATTCCCACCTTCACACAACACATAACCTTTGGACTCACACGGCTTCACTGGAAGGGGGTGGATGAGTGTCCGCTACGTTCCCAGGTCTGGAAATCTCCTGCAGACTGCACAGCAGCTGGGCCAGGGCTCTCCTGAGCAAGGGGGACTTGTCCCCACGCAGGACAGAGAGGCACTGACCGGCTCCAGTCCCTCCTGGACTTGGGGCACTGCGCCGTGGCTGTGTGCACCCAAAGCCAACCAAACCCTCCGTCTCCTGCCTCCAAACTCAGGCTGAGCAACTCTTCAGTTTACTTTTCCTGATCCTTCTGTAGTAAATAAATAGTTCCAGAGGTAATGTGATAATATCTTAATTGCCTCTCACGCCAGAAGGACAGGTAATGATTTCCCAGCTGGGAGGGAGCTGTGATTTCCCTCGGCTTGCAGTGGCTCCATCCCTCATCCCAGGCAGCGGGACTGTCTGAGCTGCTGCTTCTGCCTCCATTCCGAGGAATTTGTGTCTCTTTACCAGGCTCAATCCTTTGGCAAACCTGCTGCCACCAGCCTGGGGCAAGCCCAGTCGGGAACGGCCCTGGTGCACATGAGCACAAGGGCAGTGAAGGACAGACCTTGTTGGGACTAAGCTGACACAGCAGCGACTGGCCACGGCGCATGGCAGGGTCTCCTGGGCTGCCGAAAGAAGGGATGGATGGGAGTGCCCCAGGTCTGCATCCAACCTGGAGCTTGTCCCAGTAGGGAACTGGGGTGCAGCTGGGGCCACACGCCGAATGCAAGCTTTGCAATGCTTCCAGGTCCACCATGCAGCTTCGGAGAGCAATGGACCCCTCATGAATGTGGTGAGTGGGACGACGCACTCAGGCAGGTGGGGATGTGTGCCATCACAGGGACACATGGCCCCATGGTCCCACCCATGGACCCCAGCACACGGCATCACACACAGCCTCTATTACACCCGCGCCTGCTCCCTTCA